CGGCGGCCGCCACGCCCACGCCGGCCGCGCACGCCAGGCCCACGAAGGCCAGCAGCAGCGAGTGGAAGCCGCCGGGGAGGGCTGCGGGGTGCGGGGCAGCGCCCACCTCGTTGCGCTGCGAGAGGGAGACGGGGGTCAGTGGGTGGCCAGGGACACCCCCCCCACCTCAGCACCTGGGCCAGGATGGGCCCCCAGGGTGGGGGGCACAGGGGACGCGACTGGCAGCTGCTTTTAGGGTGGAGGCTGTGTGGGGGCACGGGGCACCCCTCCAAGCCCTGCCTGCCGGTGGTCCCCCTGGAAAGGGGCTCCATCCCTCCAAGTATGGCATGGCAGTGGTGCAAGGGGATGAGGGGGGCACCTGGCAAAGGGGCAGCACCAGGGCTGCCAGCAGCTCCCTCGTAAAGTGGGGTATGCCCTGGTGCCCCCTGCTCCCTCCCCCCAACCTGGGATACCCCAACCCTGAGCAGCCAATCACAGCCCACGGTGCCCCAACCCTGAGCAGTGCATCGTGCCCCATAGCCTGGAACGCCCTGAACCCAAGCAGCCAATCACAGCATCTGACTGGAAGTACCCCAACCCCAGCCAGCCAACCACCGCCCACAGCCCAAGGCACCCTAACCCCGAGCAGCCAACTGCAGCCGGTGCCTCCCTCTGCCCCCTTCCCATGGGAGTGTATACACACGTGTGCACACGCATGCCACCGCAGAGCCCTGTCGCAGGCATGGGCACCCCTGGCCCACACACATGGGCAGCAGTCATGCCAGGAAGGGCGCACACACTGAGCTCCACGCGTGATGCCCCTGCAGCCACCCACAGCCCGTCCCAGGCGTTGCGGCCCCTCGCTGGGAGGACAGCAGCCCCCCTTGTCCCCAGGCTGTGCCAGGAGAGGTGGCTGCGCCTGCAGGACCGATTTCCATGGCGTGTCCGGCCCGGCTGGGGCAGAGATGGCACCCAGCCCCACGGTGCGCCGGCCACGGAGCCGCCCGCCACCCCTGTGCAGAGGCTGCCCCTGGCTGGGAAATGCCCCCATGGGACAAGTGGCACCACCTGGGCTCTCCCATGGGGATGGGGATGGGGATGGGGATGGGGATGGGAACGGGGGGCAGCACAGAGCCCTGCAGGCCAGGGGCAGGGGCAGGGGTAGGGGCAGGGGCAGGGGCAGGGGCAGGGGCAGACTCCCTGGCCCTGCCACCGACTCCCCGCCTGGCCTTGGGCACATCCCTTGGTCTCCCAGACTGCAGCTCCCCCCGGCTCCAGGCTGGAGGGGGCAGGGAGAAGCACGGGGCCCAGGGGCAGGGGGCAGTTACCTGCAGTTGGGGCCCTGCGGCAGCAGTGGGCGTGGCCCGGGCAGCCCCATGGCAGGCGCCGGAGCTGGGCGGCAGGCACGGGGACCCCAGTGCAAGGGGGGCTGAGTGGGGGGGTCATGGGGGCCTGCTCAGCCCCGGGGGGGGCTGTCAGCTGGGCCAGGCAGGGCAGGAGGCCTGGAGCTGCCTCAGCCTCCTCTGGCTCCGTCATCTCCCGAAGCCACGGCCACTTGTCACAGCACACGGCGTTGCCATGGCAACCGCGCCACATGTTGCTGATGGAGACCGGGCTGGTTCCCTTCCTGGCCCACCCTTCCTCTCCGCACCCCCCAGGCCCCCAGGGCAGCCCCCACACGTGCATCCGTTTCCCCACACACACACACGTGCCTGCACACCCGCATATGTGCATATGCATGCATGACCCCCCCACGCACCTGCACAATGTCCTCATGAGCAAGTACATGCATGCACCCCACACATGCATACTCCCCACCTACATGCGCACCCCCCACACCCAAAAGCAGCCATCTCACTCACACACACACACGCTTGC